ATAAGTATAGTTAAGTGAATCTTTTAAAAAATTTTCAGGAAGTAAAGTTTTAGTGTTTGAGTAATTTGTTACATAAATTGGTCTGGATTTGGCACTGGATACTTTCTCAGTATCAGTACTTTTTCAGCTTTCTCCCGTTCTCCATGTGTGGTGCCTGTACCAGCAGCATCCACACTGCTAGGAACTTCTTAGCGATTAAAATTCTCCATTCCACTCCAGACCGCTGGGTTGAGGTCCAGACTTCTGAGTTGTAGAAACCCTCCAGAGGTTGTGGTGCAGCTTTACAATTTGAAACACATTTCTCCAAGGAAAAAAGGAGTAAAGACTATTCAAATGAGCTCATTCTTCATGGCTAACAGTCTTGGTCCAACATTTTATCCAAATGTCAAATTTTATTTTGTGTTTAAAAAGAAAGCTCAAAAAATATGTCCAGCTTAACAAAGGAAACAATGAAACAGTGAAACTGAGGCCATGTAGAAAATAAAAAATGTTTCGTGCTCTAGATACTAAGGAAGGCTGACCAGCTGCATGTCCCAGAGGTCATTTACAAAAAATAGTTTTCCATCTTGACAATGAGTTCAGATGCAGTAAAGGTGAGGAGATCTTGGAGGAGCCCAGAAATTCTGTGGGAATAAGAGACTAAAAGGACTCCAGGGTCACAGCCCTGAAGAACTTTTAATCATTTGTACTTTAGTTTACTTATTTTTTAAAGATTTTTTTTTGATGTGGACCATTTTAAAGATCTTTATTAAATTTGTTACAGCATTGCTTCTGTTTTATGTTTTCTAGGCTAGAAGTCTAAGATTAATTTGTCTGCAGGGTTATTTCCTTCTGAAGGCAGTTTGCTGGAGATCGTTAGCATTCCCTGGCTTGTAGACCCATTTTCCCGATTTCTGCTTCCATCTTCACATAGGGCTCTCCCTGATCTCGTGTCTGTGTCCAATTTTCTGCCTTTTATAAGAACCCCAGTTATATCAGATTAGGGACTTAGTCTACTCCAGGACAGCCTCACCTTAAACCTGAACAAATTACATCTACATTGTAATTTTCAAAGAGGCTTACATTCTGAGGTGCTCGGAATTAGGTCTTGGATATATCTTGGATATATCTTTTGGGGGACACAACTGAACCCACAACATGCATTTAGGCACTAGAGTCAGGCAGGCGTTTTTGCCCCTGGCCAGTCGTCAAATGTGGCTTCCCCTAGGGAGGGGACATAACCTTGGACCAAGCAGCTCCCTTAAGCCCAGGAAAGTTCTGGCAAAAAGGATTCAGTTGCAAGCTCCCAGAAGACAACATCCCTGGTAGTTTCTGAAGAGGTGGTCTGGGTGGTGCAGCCTGATAACAACCATGGCGCCCCCCTGTGCATCTCTGATTAAAACAAGGGCTTCTAGAGGTTCCTGAGACAGAAGATCCTAAATGAGTCACCTTGAGGACCCAATCCCAGACAAAACAGTCGTCTTCATGGTGGGGGAGGGGGGTGAATCCATACCCCAGGGGATGGGTCAACAGCATCTAGGAGGTTGGAGATCCACAGCTAGAAAACCTGTGTCTCATCACACTGTCTAGACCATGGCCAATGCTGTCATCCGTGTCACAAATACCACATCCTCTTCTGGGAGAACTTTGGAGATACCAGTTCCTCCACATGCTTCCTCTTGCTTGCCACTAGGCTGGTGACAACTGTTTCTCTGCCATGTGGTTCACCTTTGAGTCAGAGCCAGGGTCCTAGGGACCCGAGGCTGCACTGTCAAATCTTGGCCATGAGTCCAAGGAGTCTGAGTGGCCCCTCTGAGCAAAGAGACCACCCACCCAGCTTCTCATGTGAGACTGAAGCATCCTTGAGATACTTTTCTGGGGAGAAATGCATTTTCTCTTTTCCAAGAAGGTTTTGTTGAATTTCATAAACCTAGAAAGACACAATTCAGGCTATTACCTATCAGTGCAATCAGTTTATTGGTGGCTGAATAGGTGAAGCAATAAGGATGTGCTTACTATATACTTAATATTGGAGGAACTGGCTAGATTCAGTAGAAAAAGTTTGAATATTGCCATTAAACAGACCATCTATCTTTAGCTCTTAATGACTAGGTGTAGTTGTACACAGAGACTTTTAAAAAGAGAAGGGAGAAGCCCTTGCTAAAAAGACAGGTAAAGCAGGTGCAATGGCTTCTAACTTCTGAATGAATAAACATATATCAGAGTGATATACTGTTCAAAAGCCAAGCGTAATAGAAACTTATTATGAGATAAAACCTGAATGCCTGTTTCTTAGAGTCTGCTTGATCACTTAAACCTTTCAGAGAGTTCTTCTCAGGTCTTATGAGAATCATGTAGATTTTGGCACAAAGATGCAGCCAAGGAGCCCAGCAATTGGGGCCAACATGGAGAAGATCTCCACAGCCGCCATGACCTTGCCCTTGGTGCTGTGAAGGTCTCAGGCAGGTTCTTGGCCAGGAAAGCCAAGGAGAAGCCCTGCAGGGCTAAGGGGCCCAGGTATCCCAGGATATAGCAGAAAGCAGTGACCAAGCCCTTGCACACCATGATGAGATCCTCGGGCTCAGGATGAGTGTCCATCTCAAGGAAAGGGGGAAAGGTTCCCAGACAGACTCCACAGATCAGGAAATACATAAGAATGACATAGTTAGAAGCTCCTGCTCTAAGAACTGTCTCGTGGTTCTTCCTGGTTTCCTGATCTTGAATGCCAAAATCACAGTCAGGGTTTTGACCGAGACAGTGGCAACAGCCATGGTGAGCACAACTCCAGGTGTGCTCTGTTGGAGGACGCAGGTGGCTGTGCTGGGACGACCGATGAAGAGCAAGGAGCAGAGGAGGAAGAAGAGGAACAGGACACAGCTGAGAGCCGGTTATGGCCTTGACTGTGGGGGAGTCTCCGTGCTTCACAAGGACCCACAAAGCCACAGCTGCAGCGGCAAAAACCGCAGAGCCATGCAGGTCAGTGACGCTCCCAAGGAGTCCTCAAAGGCCAGAAGGTGGCAACTCTGGGGAGAAGGCAGTTTCTCTCCATGTTTGGAGGCCCTTGATCTGGGCTCTGGTCACACTCTCTGCATCTGAGGAGAAAGTGGATTCAGCCTTTCTTCATTTGTACAACATTTCAATATGTGGTAAACAGAAACATTTCCTGTCACTGTTCATATGTGTATTGTGCTTATTGGTCCTTCTGATATAATATTCAGACACCCCTAATTAGAAAGTGTTTGTGAGGAAGTAAAATTTGGGACCTTTGTATGTTCTTTCTGGGAATGAAAAATGGTGCAGCTACTGTGGAAATAAGTCTGACAGTTTGTCTAAGAATTAGTATAGTATAATTTATTATAAAAAACTATACTATAGCATATTTTATTCTCTAACAGTAAACATAGTATTAGCATCAGTGAGCAATTCCCATCTAGGGGTACTCTGCCCAATTTCAAGGCAGAGGCTTGGAAAGATAATCACTTACCTGCATTACTTGCAGTAACCAAAAAATGAAAGCAGCCCAAATGTCCATTGACAGATAAATGTATAATAAAAATGATGTATGTATTCAATGCAATGGTATTCTGCCTTAAAATGAAATGAATTGATCTGACACATGCTACAATGTACAAGACTCTTGAAAGCCTTATCCTTTTGAAAGAAATCACACTCCAAAGGACAAAGACGGTTTTATTTATAAATGTACTTAGAGTAGTCAAATTCAGAGACATAGAAACTGGAATGATCTTTACAAGAGAGTAGAAAGTAAGAGGGGACTACCCTGGTAGTTCAGCTGGTAAAGAATCCTCCTGCAATTCAGGAGAGCCTGAATTCAATTCCTGGCTCAGGAGGATCCCTCGGAGGAGGGATAGGCTGCCCACTCTAGTATTCGTGGACTTCCCTGGTGGCTTAGACGTAAAGAATCCGCCTGCAACGCAGGAGACCTGGGTTCTGTCCCTGGGTTGGGAAGATCCCCTGGAGGAGGGCATGGCCAGCCACTCCAGTATTCTTGCCTGGAGAATCCCCATGGACAGAGGAGCCTGGCGGGCTACAGTCCATGGGGTCGCAAAGAGTCGGACACGACTGAGCGACTAAGCACTGCACAGGAAGTAAGAGGAAGTACTGTTCCATGGCAAGAGAGATGAAGTTAGGGGTGATACGGTCTTTGGAGGGACAGTGGAGAAAGCTGTATAGCAATGGGAATTTATTACTGCCTTGAATTGCACTCAAGAGTAATTAAAATGTTAAATTTTATATGATGTATATTTTACCATAAAAAAATGGATAGGTCAAAAAACCGAATAAGTACATGTTTTGAGGAAATGATGCCCAAAGACGTCATTCTTCTTTTCCAAAACCTTCAGTTTCCTCTTCATTGTGAAATATATAAGAGGTGGTGTTACCATAAGTGATGATAAATCTTTATTCCTGTGTTGTTCGAAATGTGCTTCTCTGGGAAAAAAGTACAAGTGAAACAGCACACAGGCCTTCCTTCCTGTGGAATTCTTCTGAACCCTGAACTATAAGTCCGGCTACACAGATTTCAGATGGAAAAGGAAAAAGCTGCTGTCAGGGGACATCTCTATTTCTCCCAGAAGAAAGGACATTCACCTTCTGTTCCATCACTGGGTCTCATTCCTACTCCCAGCCTTGAAATATTCCCTAGGAATCTAAGTATGAGGAATTAAGTTATGCTTCCAAATTCCTTTTTCTGAAATATTTACAGAGATGACCAGAAATTTAGCAAAGTATTCCATGACTTTTATTTCATACATTCCTGGTGACATACCTTGTTCTTCTTTTGTTTAACAACCTAATCTAAAAATCCCATCAGTGCAAGTATGCATGTGGACATGATACTGAAGTTTAATGTGTAGAAAAATATTTTACTATGCTCTTATATTGGCTGCATAGAGGATGGAGTTTTTGGTAAAGAACCTAACAGTGTGAAAAACAGACACACTGCTCAAAGTAATTTTACAAAAAATTAATCCACACCATGGAGAGACAGACCATGAGAGTATGTTCTGAAATACAGATTTTTAATTAACACATTACATCCTGATTCAAGTATAGTACAGTTTTGTACAAAAATGAGAAACATTTTTATGTGTTACATGCGAAAGAATTAAACAAATAATCACTTTACAATTACACTGGACTTTTCACATGTGGGAAATTTGTTAAAATTCATGGTCAATGCTTTGAAGTATTAGAGTGAAGTTTTATGACCAAATAATATGCAAATAATGAAGGGAATGTATAAATGGAAAGTACAAAGAGATAGTTGACATCCATAGTCTACTTGTGTTTATCGAAACAGAAGGACTTTACCAAATATAAATAAGTTCAGGGTATTTCATTCTACACAACCTACTCATCCTAGACACTGACTCAGAAAGTGTGTAAGAGTGCTTACTGTGAGTCACAACATTACTTTCAAAGGTGACTTTAATGCTCAAAGGCATGCACACTTCATTTCATACGAAGATTCTGCTCTAATATTTTGACAGTGAATACATCTAATCTTAAAGTGATGTCATACCTCATTGATCCTATAGACCATTCTATCATCTCTTATTGATCACCAAACCTTGGTCATAAAGGCTCTTGGAGCCCAATTCTCCTGCTTTAACCAGGAGTTCTAGATCGCATAGAAAACTCACAGCATTCAGGATAACATACCGCATCACATGACTTCTTTTGTCATCTGAGAATATGTGCTCCCAAGCATTGTTTCTAAGTTAGATTTTATCCAGGAATGGGTGAAGCTAGAAAAGAAGCAAGATTGAAAAATGAAAAGTGCATTCAAACTAGAAATGGAAGGCCTACTGTTACATAGCAGGCTTTCTTTCCCACCTCCCCAGCCTCAATCAGTCTCTTGTTGGTAGCTCTGTGTGGGTGTTCACCATCTCGAGGACTCTAGTGACGCGGACATTTCATCTCGTTCTGAAAACAAAGACAGAAGGAATGAAATACAACCATGACACAGTCGAAGGACGTCTTCATCATGGGTGTTGGTGAGTCCCAGACCAATAAATATTGAAAGCAACAAGGGGGGAAAACTAACATACAATGGAAATCCTGTAAGAATATCAGCTGAATCCTCAATAGGACTCTACAAGCCAGAAGAGAATGGCATGACACAGTCATCAAGACAGTATGGTACTGGCACAAAGACAGAAATATAGATCAATGGAACAGAATAGAAAGCCCAGAGATAAATCCACGAACCTATGGTCACCTTATCTTCGACAAAGGAGGCAAGGATATACAATGGAAAAAAGACAACCTCTTTAACAAGTNTTGGGACTGGAATGAAAACTGACTTTTTCCAGTCCTGTGGCCACTGCTGAGTTTTCCAAATTTGCTGGCATATTGAGTGCAGCACTTTCACAGCATCATCTTGTAGGATTTGAAATAGCTCAACTGGAATTCCATTAGCTCCACTAGCTTTGTTCATAATGATGCTTCCTAAGGCCCACTTGGCTTCACATTTCAGGATGTCTGGTTCTAGCTGAGTGATCACACCATTGTGGTTATCTGGGTCATGAAGATCTTTTTTGTATAGTTCTTCTGTGTATTCTTGCCACCTCTTCTTAATATCTTCTGCTTTTGTTAGGTCCATACCATTTCTGTCCTTTAATGTGCCCATATTACGTGAAATGTTCCCTTGGTATCTCTAATTTTCTTGAAGAGATCTCTAGTCTTTCCCATTCTATTGCTTTCCTCTATTTGTTTGCATTGATCGCTGAGGAAAGCTTTCTTATATCTCCTTGCCACTCTTTGGAACTCTGCATTCAAATAGGTATATCTTTCCTTACCTCATGTTAAAATATCTTCAGTTTTAAAACTTAGATGCCTCTCAATTGAAATATTAAAAATTTTAAGCCTGTAAAGAAAGAAAAAGAAAGTTAGGGACAAGAGATGCTTTCTGGTCACAATGTCCTATTAGCCACTTTTCTTTTTCTCTAAACCTTCTGCCCCAGTCTCAGAACCTCCACCAGCCCCAAATCCCTACCCCTTCCTCCTCCCCCAGGCTCACAGGGGCATCTCTGAGGCCAACAGGGCCTGTGACCTTCTGTACCTGGGACAGGGACATTGTTCACAGAATCCTGGTGAGCAGCGGATGTTCAAGGCCCTTTCTGAGGACAGATTACATTCCTGAAATGAAGGATGAGACCATCCAGGCCTTAAAATTCTTAGTCAAGTCCTTGCATCCTGTGAGTTTCCAGATTTCATTATTCATTACTGAACTTTAACAACACCCAGGCACACAGAAGCTTCCCAACAGGACCATGAGTACAGGCACTGGACATTACTTCTCCCAGTGATGCTGGGTCCCAACCTTCTCGTTAATATTTTATCCTCTCCCACCGACAGACACAAAGGCAGGTGTAGGTCTTGTCAGTGTAGAGGGAGGGTCTCTGAAAACCACTGAAATATACAGTGAGTCATGCCAAAGCGCATCCACATTTCTCTGTCCCTTCCCAGCCAGCACGTGTTACCAAATGGGGAATCTTTTTTCATCTTGAGCCAAGGAAGAAGAATCATGCACAGCAAAGACAACCCCAAGAATCTCAAGCCCAGGGCCATAAAGAAGAACTGGAAACAATGTCCTCAGGTTAGTTTGTAAGACTTGAATACTCGTGAGGCCAACAAGTGAATACTGGGCCCATTATTATGGAGAAGACCTAAAGAAGACTTTGGGCCAGACTGGAAAGAACATGCCCCCTCTGGTATGTCTCTTCTACATTCCATTTTCATGATATTTGAGTAACCAACATGGGCTGACCCAGACAATCACACTGTGCCCTAAGCAGAGTGGAGAATTAGAGACCAGGCTTTGCCCGTGGTCCTGTTTTCACAGGACTGGAAAGGATTTCACACTCTGAGCCTGCCATGCATCTCTCTCCCAGCTGCTCCTTTACAACAAGGGCGCAAAGCAATGATGCTGAGGGAATCAGGGAATCATCTGCGGGTACTGTTCAGAGTGTTCGCAGCCCCTGAGGAAATAGGCTCAGAGGAAGAGAGACAGGAAGTAGATCTGCGTCACCTAACCCAGCCCTGAAGGTATTTGTTCCAGTTAGCTCTTCCCTGTGTACATGGCCACCTCCCACTTCCCAGGGCCAGCTCCAGGCTTGGTTCCTGAGGGTCAGAGCTCTGGAGTCCCACCTCAAAAGTGAACTATATTGAGATGCTCGAGTACTGTAATAGGTTCTATGAAACTTGCGTCCTGTCTGGCTATCTCAACACCCATTTCTTGATCTTCTCTTGAAGACCTCAAGCCTAGTAACAGTGGTGGACTTTTATCAGATTCTCATCTTGAAGACAGGACTTAAAGTCATTTAAACCTGTGTTATATAGCAACTTCCCACTAGCTATCTATTTTACATATGGTAATGCATATATTATACATGACCAACCTAGACAGCATATTAAAGAGCAGAGACATTACTTTGTCAACAAAGGACCATCTAGTCAAAGCTATGGTTTTTCCAGTAGTCATATATGGATGTGAGAGTTGGACCATAAAGAAAGTTGAGCACCAAAGAATTGATGCTTTTGAACTGGTGTTAGAGAAGATTCTTGAGAGTCCCTTGGACAGCAAGGAGATCCAACCAGTCCATCCTAAAGGAAATCAGTCCTGAATATTCATTGGAAGGACTGATGCTGAAGCTGAAACTCCAATATTTTGGCCACCTGATGTGAAGAACTGACTTATTTGAAAAGACTTTGCTCTTGGGAAAGAATGAAGGTGGGAGGAGAAGGGGATGACAGAGGATGAGATGGTTGGAAGGCATCACCGACTGGATGGACATGAGCTTGAGTAAACTCTGGGAGTTGGTGATGGACAGGGAGGCCTGGTGTGCTGCAGCCCATGAGGTCACAGAGTCGGACACGACTGAGACTGAACTGAACTGAATGTACATATTTTAATGCTACTCTCTCAGTTTGTCCCACCTTTTCCTTCCCCAACTGTGTCCACAAATCTGTACTCTACATGTGCCTCTCTATTCATGTTCTACAAATACGTTCATCAGTACCATTTTTCTAGATTCCATATATAGGCATTAATATCAGCCTGGTGCTCTGTGATGACCTAGAGCAGTGAGATGAGGGGGTGGGTGGGAGGATGTCTCAAGAGGGAGGGGACATGTGTATACTTATAGCTGATTCATGCTGTTACATGTGGCAGAAACCAACACATTATTCTCCAAATAAAAATAAATTTTTTTTAGAAAGTCATTTAAACTGGATACCAATTCTGTTTGAAAGACAAGAGTTGCATCCGCTGAACATCAGAAGGTTAACACTATGTGTGTGTGTGTGTTTATATGTGTAGAGTTCAGTAAAATAATCTAGCCAGTCATTAACAATATAGACATGTTAATAGAAGCAATGATCTACAGGGGTTTGAAATACTCCAACAAAAGATATGAAACATACAAAGAAATAGGGAAGGAAGGCCTGTATGCTGGAAAATAAGCAGGGACAGAAATTGCTTGTGAATAGGTGACAAATGAAACAGAAAAAGACTTCACTTCAGTTCAGTTTAGTCGCTCAGTCATGTCCGACTCTTTGCGACCCTATGGACTGCAGCACGCCAGGCCTCCCTGTCCATCACCAACTCCCGGAGTCCACCCAAACCCATGTCCATTGAGTCAGTGATGCCATCCAACCATCTCATCCTCTGTCATCCCCTTCTCCCCCTGCCCTCAATCTTTCCCAGCATCAGGGTCTTTTCAGATGAGTCAGCCCCTTGCATCATGTGGCCAAAGTACTGGAGTTTCAGCTTCAACATCAGTCCTTCCAATTAACACCCAGGACTGATCTCCTTTAGGATGGACTGGTTGGATCTCCTTGCAGTCCAAGGGACTCTCAAGAGTCTTCTCCAACACCACAGTTCAAAAGCATCAATTCTTCGGCACTCAGCTTTCTTTATAGTCCAACTCTCAAATCCATACATGATCACTGGAAAAATCATAGCCTTAACTAGACGGACCCTTGTTAGCAAAGTAATGTCTCTGCTTTTTAATATGCTGTCTAGGTTGGTCATAACTTTCCTTCCAAGGAGTAAGCATCTTTTAATTTCATGGCTGCAATCACCATCTGCAGTGATTTTGGAGCCCAGAAAAATAAAGTCAGCCACTGTTTCCACTGTTTCCCCATCTATTTGCCATGAAGTGATGGGACTGGATGCCATGATTTTAGTTTTCTCTGTGTTGAGTTTTAAGCCAACTTTTTCACTCTCCTCTTTCACTTTCATCAAAGGCTGTTTAGTTCTTCTTCACTTTCTGCCATAAGGGTGGTGTCATCTGCACATCTGAGGTTATTGCTATTTCTCCTGGAAATCTTGAATCCAGCTTGTGCTTCTTCCAGCCCAGTGTTTCTCATGATGTACTCTGCATACTAGCTAAAAAGTACAGTTGAAATGAAAAATTTACTGGAGTATCTCAATAAATTTGAACTAGTAGAAAAAATAATTAGCAAACTTAAGTGTGGATTGATAATAAAAATTATGTAACCCGAGAGAAGAGAGGATGAAAGAAATTGAAAGTAGACTCAGAAAACATGGAACATGTTTAAATAAATACACAATGGGAGTATCAGAAGGATAGGAGAGAAGGGAACATAAAATTACTTTGAGGAAATAATAACTTATTTTAGCCAAATTTATTTTTAAAAACACAATAATCTACACATTCAGGAAACTCAACAAATTCCAACTAAAACAAATGCAAAGAGAGCCAGAATTAGATCCATCACATTAAAAAACTGAAAGCCAAGAGAAGAAAACATACTCTTGAAAAACCACTTGTCACTTGTAAGGGAAACTTAATAAGAATAGCAGCTAACTTCTCTTTTTTAAATTAATTTTTTCATGTTCAAAATTTTTTTAATTTAAATAAATGAATTAAGAAAAATGTTTTTTGACCGTACTGCTTGGCAGGTGGGAATTTAGCTCCACAACCAGGGATTGAACCCACTCCCCTGCAGTGGAAGTGTAGTCTTAACCACAGGACTGCCAGGGAAGCCCTAATGGTTACCATCTTATCAGGAAAAATGGAATCTAGAAAACAGTGGAATATTCAGAGAACTAAAGGAAACAATTGTACTCATCTCATATGATAGCAAAATAATGCTCAAAATTCTCCAAGCCAGGCTTCAACAGTATGTGAATCATGAGCTTCCAGGTGTTCAAGCTGGATTCAGAAAAGGCAGAGGAACCAGAGATCAAATTGCCAACATCCATTGGATCATTGAAAAAGCAAGAGAGTTTCAGGAAAACATCTACTTTTGCTTTATCGACTATGCCAAAACCTTTGTCTATGTGGATCACAAAAAACTGCTAAAAATTCTTCAAGAGATGGGAATACCAGACCACCTGACTTGCCTCCTGAGAAATCTGTATGCAGGTCAAGAAGCAACAGTTAGAACAAGATATGGAACAAGAGACTGGTTCCAAATTGGGAAAGGAGTACGTCAAGCCTGTATATTGTCACCCTGCTTATTTAAGTTATATGCAGAGTACATCATGCGAAATGCTGGGCTGGATGGAAGCCCAAGCTGGAATCAATATTGCTGGAAGAAATATCAACAACTTCAGATACGCAGATGACACCACCCTTATGGCAGAAAGTGAAGAAGAACTAAAGAGCCTCTTGACGAAAGTGAAAGAGGAGAGTGAAAAAACTGGCTTAAAGCTCAACATTCAAAAAA